AATTACTATTGAATAGCCTAGCTTGGATAGGCTAGCTATAACACAGGAACTTGCTTGTTTGAAGCTAATTTCGTTTTTCTTTCATTTGAATAAGTGAAAATCTACGCATTGCAGAAGTAAACTGTGATTTAGGTACCACGAGCTTCTTGACGTGATCACAAGCAAACTATCAGTGGATCCTGTGTCAGAACTGGAGTACGAAAAACTACAGCAGATTACATTCGAAATTTTCCACGATATTGGTGGAATAACGGATGATGACCAAAATTTGGATTTTGAACGCGATCCAAGAGAAGATGAGATACCCAGGTGTGATCGACAGGGTGAGATAAGTCAAAGGCACAAGGAATGAGTACTTAGGATTATAATGGAACGGAGAGCCCCCGGCGACACTGAAGAACTAGCTGAGGAGCTTACACAATCCAGTTCGTCTGGAGAAGAGGACACTGCAGTTCAATGCAAGGATGAAAGTATTTGATCACAAAAATCGCGTCTTAATTACAGTTCTGTTTTGTTGCACAATTCTCTACGTGTCTTCCAACAATAAACTTCAAGCGCAGCATATTGCTTTGTATCAAAAATTTTGAGCATGAAGCAAAGCAATGAATAAATTTGTGAAAACGGATATTACCTTGAAGATTTTGTCCACATCCTGCTGGACTGAACCATGTATTGATGTGCCTAATCTCCCTCTGTCATCTCGGAGCTTTCGTAATTCATCATCAACAACGCAGCGAACGTCTCTCCAGAATTCAGAATGTCGATCTTTCTCTAGCGAACGATACACCTGAATGAGAAGATGAGCGATTGCAGAAAAAAGGGAAAGTTTGATTTACCTTGATATCCTCTACTAAATCTTCATAGTCGTCCTGACTAAGTCCTTTGAGATATTTGAGTGGATCTTCAAGCTCGAATTCATCTTTATCAGCGTCCTTTTCATCTTGTTCCTCTTCTCCAAATTGGATGTATCTGAAATCATTACGCTATGCCGAGAAAGTAGTTCGAAAAGAAGATGGAGGTAAATTACTAAGACGAGGATGTCTGCAAAATGAAAAGCAAAGTCAATAGCAAAGAGCGAACCAGTGTATTATTAGGCTGTAAAGAAAGTTCTGCCAATTCTTCTCGTGATTACCAAA